GGGGGGGGGGGGGGGGTATCACTGTCTTGGGGACGGCTATAGTCATACAGAGAAAATCTATCCATCCATTTTTTGTACGTGTTTGTCCTATGCAGGGTCGTAGGGGGCTGAAACCTATTCCAGAAGCTATGGGCACAAGGCAGGGAATAACCCAGGACGGGGCACCTACAGAGGCAATCTATGACATGTTTTTTAAAAAAAATAAATAAATGAAAACACCCGGCAGGTACATACATACGCACCCCCAAAAGACATTCGGTGCAATATAATATAATCATGGGAATATATAGTATTCCCAAAATTTGTATGCTTTATTTTCTTATACATTAAACATGTAGTACTGGGGGCTCTACTGCCATGGGGACGGCTGTAGACGGGTGGGTGGAATCAATGATGATGAAAAACTAAGGGCTGGGGAATTTTTATTCATTGTCACATTTCAGCTGTTTGATGTGTATAGATTACGTTTAACGCAGAAGCAGAGCCGTCGCTGCCGGTTTCGGGGGGAGCCAGTGGAGCGTCAAGCGGCCGCCAGCGCAATCTTAACGAGTAATTAGCTAGCAGTGCGTGTGCCTGAGAGCCGGGTGGTGACTCACGCTAACGGGCGTCTAAAGCGGGCTTGGGGGGGCGGAACACGGGGGCTTCTTAAAGGGCTAATCGGGGATACGTCCAAAAAGTTTACTGCCAAAATAATAAATGGATTCGCATGACTACTAATTAGACTCTGTTCCAAAATAACAAGACAAACGTGTGTGATGGTTAAAGTATCTTTTCCAAATATCGTACGGACAGTAATGTCATGCTGGTTCGAACAGTGCAAATTCTCTATAGATTACTGGGTGTAGCTTACGAGACGGGGCCGGTACCCGGGTCTCGTGTAAATCCACGTGATTCACGGCGACTCTGCAAATCGGATTATATGTCATTTGCGGGTGACGGCACACGTTTACGACGGGGACACGCTGCGGCAGGATTGAGCACGATGTACCGCTTATCCAGTTAGTGCTGTGTAAACAGACATCCAGCCAATAAAGGAAGACGGTTTTAGCAGCTCCCCTCCCCAGACCGTGATGTCGGTGTTTACACAAGCGCCGCTTCATTGATTATTCCATTAAAGCATACATAAATGAGGGTTACGCCAGGAGCAACCGTTAAAGATCCACTTAAACGCATAATGGCAGTGCTTAAAGCCAGGTGGATGCAGATCCACTGAGGTGTGGAGCTTGTCGCTGTCCTCACAGACCCTTCTGGACAATTAGACAATGAGCCAACTCCCTCCCCTCAGGGGTTTCCTTGTTGAGCTTTATTGAGAAAACTCTGTCCTGTTTTCCTAATCCGTCTACATCCACCGACTTTCAATTATTAATTGAACCAGAAGTCACTGTATCGCCCCCTACAGGTTGGCCGGCAGAACATCCACAATGCAGCTCCAACGCTCCAAAGCAACGTGAGAGATACTAGTTTTGTCTCTCGTTTTGATTTGGTACAGGCAGTCCTGGTGGCCCCGCTTAATGAAAACATGGGGCAGCGGGTGACTCGGGGAAAGCTGCCACGCTGAGAGACGCAGGCAGGCAGGCAGGCAGGCAGTGTAACACGAGCTGGGTGATAAAAAGTATGATTTATGACAAGCTGCAGGTCTGAGACAGGAAACAGAGGCTGGGAAGGTGCTCACTGTTCCTGTGAGAAAAACTAAATGAAAACTGACAGTCCTGTTCATCTGACCCCCCCCCCCCCCAGTTATTTGAGACCCTTTTGAAAATATGGCAGCTCTTCGGAAGGTAATACGGCAGCAGTGGTGAGGACGAGGGGGGAGATGCTTTACAGGGACTCTGTGGCCACCACACGCTCGGCGAGGCCGGGGGGGGGAGATGCCTTACAGGGACTCTGTGGCCACCACGCGCTCGGCGAGGCCGGGGGGGGGAGATGCCTTACAGGGACTCTGTGGCCACCACGCGCTCTGCGAGGCCGTACAGCGTGCCGCCGTCCGTCAGCACCACCAGCTGGCTCAGGTGTGGACTGGGCACCTTCTCCTTGCGCTCCTCAGAGGCCCCGTGGCTGCTCCCCGTCTCCGCGGCGGCCTCCTGAAGGGGAGAGAAGCAAAGCCAGGCGCAGTCACTCCCCGCACCCGGTATCCTCCGAGGCCAGAGGGAGCAGCGGTGAGAGAGACAGACCACCCGCTACATACTTAATGTGCACATCTACAGACCACCCGCTACATACTTAATGTGCACATCTACATAAACACCACAGGTGAATGATTTTTATATGCCCCTCCCTGGAGCAACCCACCTATACAAGGACTTTTTAATCGCAGTTTTACTATTATTATTATTAATGGCAGGAGACATTACCTGCTGGTAGGCTAGTCCAGCGAAAATGTGCCATCATGCTTACTTTGGTAGAATTCTCTACACCACACTCCATCTAGACATAATTATAAACTATTTTTCTAATGAAAATTTCCAGCTGGCTGTGCTATGGCTTTTATGCAATGTAGAGCGTATAGAGGTGAAAAGATATAGCACATATGACAATTCATCCACCCACCCATCAATCCATCCATCCATCCACCCACTGCCTATAAGGGTCACAAGGCACATATATATATATATATTTCCCACTTTATTTTTAGATACTCTAACTTCCAAGTCAATGGCAGGACTTCATCCCTGAACGTGTACAATAAATCTGTAATAACATTCAGACTTTCAGCCATCCTAAATAACCCATCACTGTGCATAGATTGGATTGCAGCAGGCATTTAATTTGTTTGGGAAAAACTGCCCTGAATGAACGACAATAAAGAAAATGATGGGTATTACTTCTCCGCCGTGACCGTCCGATGCCCCAACCCCATCCGGTGACCCAAACGCCTACCAAGGTCGCACTGAGGCCTGGGGCGTGGATATGCGTCTCCATTGCAATCCATCCAAGAACACAAGAAAGGAATGCAATCCTAAGGACACCTTCATTTTGCAAGTAATAAAGAAGAGGACACATCTACAGTAAAGGACAGGAGTATGCGTGCATTTTAACCATTATTCTAATTAGCATGCTCACCGCTACATAGATTATTACCTAGAATTTTTGTGCTGCCTGCGATAGGCTCCACCCCAAAGTATTTCCTCAGCAGGATAAGTGAAAATGGATCAAACTGTATAGTTTGTTATGTAACAGATTATATTATACAAGTTATGCAAAAGAAATCACAGAGAATAATTCAAATCGAAAAGCAGAACATGTCTCTTGGTATTCTATGGGAAAATGCATTAAGCGGGTTGATGAAGCGGATACCAGCACGGCATCTCTTGGCTTGTGCGTAAACACTGCAATATATCTGCATCAGCAGGCCCAGCGTCTACGGAGAAGACCTGAAAGCAAGACCCGTTCAAGGTCACCACCAGGTGGGCGTCAGTGTGAGGACAGTATGGATGTCACCCGGCTGCCTGCACAGAGAACTGCCATTGAAAAACAACACGCAGAGACAGTCCACTTCCTGTATGAATGTGGACAAATGTTCACGAACAATTCAGGGAATCAGACAAGTCACGGATTACATAGGCTGATTCTTCTTTATCTTTAAATAATTGAAATAACTTTTAAAAATGCACAATATTGTGGCAGACGTCGGAGCAAGTGTCAGAGCGGGTTGTAGCCTTCTGACCACACGCCGGAAGTCTGGACTGTGACTAGGACTTTCTCATATTTAAGACATAAATAATATATGTCCTGGTAACGTGCAGAATATAAAGCAGAGTGCCGTGACAGCTACCTACCGTCAATTGTGCGCAAGATGGTTTTGTAATTAGTCGAATGGCAAATTACATTTAAAAGCTGTTTTTTGCCCATGAAACAAATATTCAAGAAGAAATCTAATTACCCAGAAACCGAAATTACAAGTTTTAATATCTTTCTGAGAAAGATTAATTTCTCAATAACTATGTTTAAGCTTTTTACGGGTTGCACTGTAAAACAAAGAATGAATAGATCTATATAAATAACTGGCAACAAAAACAGCAAACTGCAAATTAAATTATGGTAACTATCGTACCGATCAACACAGCAGTACAGCGACTTAGCAGCAGAGCACAATCATATCTGAAAGCTTCATCCCATTACACAGCTTCTCTCTGAAGCTGATGTGCAATTCCAGATAAAAATCTGCACAGAAAGGACAAAACATTAAAATGCATGTATACCAATAGCTTTAAATTCAGAGGAAATACCAGCAGAAAGGGGCAAAGTTCGTGGCAGTTTTTATACAAACAGGAGGAAGCGTGTTGAAGTTTCGACAGCTTACTCTACCTACAGCGTGCTGTTGTGAACCGATTCTAAGTAACTTTCAAAAAGAATGGAGATGCACCAACAGAAACCAGAAGGCAAAATGCTAAACACCATGTGTACAGTTCACCAGCCCCCTTGGTGTGGTCTTCAATTTCAAGTCTATGTCGTAAATCATCAAACACCAAAAACTTCTGGAACTGGCACACAGTTTCCCAAGGAGTGATGCAATTATTCTTGAGCCTAATTACCCACCGCTACTCTCTCACCAATGATTGTCTGAAGACCACCATCTAAACCAGAGCACTCTAAACATCATACAGTGTGAAGGAAACATTTCACCATGTTCTGCCGGTCAAGGTCAGTGGGCCACGACATTAATGGCTATCAAAACAGGGACTTCCGGAAGGTTCTCTAAGTGCCAGGCTGGTAAGGCAATTTTCCACATTTCATACCTTTCTGATCCAGATGCTTAGTGACAGACCTACTGTATTACATTCTGAGGTGTGTAGACTCATTCATCAGTTACAGCTGACCTCATGATGACATCAAAGGAGGTCAGTATGAACTGACAGGATTGGGGAATCCGGCTTTGACCTCCCGCCTCGACTCTACGTCCTTCCGAGTCAAATTTACTGTCACTCAGACTTAACTCCAAGGCTCAGAGTCCAAACTGTGATTCTTTGTCTGTCATTTGTCCAGGCAAACACTTCACTGATGTGTCAGGAAATAAATTGCTCTCTCTGTTATGGTCCAGAGGAGCGTAGACTGAGGAAAATTGATGGACATGAGAGCCGCCATTGTTTAGACTAAAGAAAAGAAGCGAATGACCCGAATGACATCAACTGCAATAAGCCTGATTACCTTAAAGCAAACAGACACATAACTTTCACCTCCATCTCTGGCCGAGGTCCAATAATCCCCCTTTTTTAAGATACCAGGAAATGCAGACAGGTAGCTCGAGGGGGCGGTATACGGCGCAGCAGGTTCGGCCTCTATTCCTGTGATTGGAAGGTCTCTGGTTCAAATTCCGTGCTTGGCAGAATAGCCACATTTCAACCGGGCCCTTGAGCAAGGTCCTCAACTCCCCAAAAATACTCCAGGGTGCTGGATGAATGCCTGACCTCATGCCCAGACCCCACGCTACACTTTCACCTCTATACGACTGTATGAAAAATTTAGCAAGAGGGAACACGTGAAAACTAACACATGCCACTTGTATAGATGACTTTTTTAAATGATATGATTCAATAATAACGACATGACCCTGCACACTGTCGCCCCCTGGAGAGCGTAACAGTCTATCACATGTCCCCTCCCCAGTCCAAAGCTTGGAGCAGGTATGCAAACACATCTGGGGAAAAAGATCAGCACGCAGATCGCGTCCAATCGGTGACCCCACGGTTCCAAAGTCGCAAATCGACTTTAGGAGAAGAAAAGGGAATTAAACTAATGGTTTTCCGGGCTTGCGGGGGTGACTCATGCGAGCTGGGAAACGGAACAGTGCCAGAGTGGATGACAGGATGACTAATAATTAGTCACTTAACAGGAGAGAGTGTAACGCATTGGTGTGTCTACCGCGGCACCCCTTTGGCATAATGAGAATAAGAATGGCGTCGTAGGGTACAAAATGGCCTATCCAGAGCTACCGTCAAGTTCTACTCCATTTCGGTATATTACTGAAAACCAGTCAGGCGAAAAAGCTATACTGCCCCCCCAGAGACGGGGGCTCCAATCCGAATTCACTGGGCTACACCTCCCCTACCCAAAAAAGCGAAATCAACTCCAATCGCAAAGACCCACCCTAACCTTTTGAATTAAGTCATTATCCAAAATGTTGGAACATTTGACTTTTCCTATGCAAAAAACCAGCAGTAGCTACCTTTGTCATGAATTAACTAGGGTGAAGAGGACCTGTCGACGTTGCCCATGGCAACTGCTGACTTGTCGAGTAAATTCCAACCATCATTCCAGACTAGGGCAATGATGTATAAAGACGAGTGAATGAGGTATTAACCAAAGAGGCATAGATATGACTAAATTACAGTCAGCAGGCAAGTATCAGAGATTTATGCAATACCTATACATCTGGAGTAAAGGTACATAATTTTAGTAATAAGGGCAGAGCATGCAGACAAAACAATAAACTATGGTGCACAACTATGGCTGTTACTCCAGGTTTAAAAAGGAATAGTAGGGATAGTAATGGTACTTAATAATAGCCTACAAGAGTAACACAAATTCAGTATTAGGAGCCACTACAAACAGCAACAGGCTAACAGCCACGTTCCGTGATTTGTACTCAAGCAAAGGCAAGCACTCATAATATTTGGAAAGCTTTTGCCCCACAAATAAGACAAAATACATACAGACAATGAGATCTTTGTGTGCTCTCTTTGATGCGACGCGGCCAAGAATCGGCAACTGGACTCTTGGCCCGGGAGGAATCTGGCTGGGAAAGCAGCTTGTAAGTGGGACAGGGGGGGCCTGTGTGTGCTGGTGTGTTAACGGCGTGAAGTAAAGCCCCCCCCCCTCGGGGCTCCTCCAGTCAGAACCGGGCGCTGACGCAAAGTCGGGACCCCCGAAAAACACGCTTAGCAAAATGCCTTTCATTCAGAAAGAAATCCATCCATCGCTAATAAGCATTCTGTCTTAAGAAGAAAACGCAATGCATGCATTTACCACTGTTTACTTGGCCGATGCTCTCGTCCGAAGCGACGTCCTAGAGAGTCAAACCGTACATTACAAGCGTACAGCTGTCAAGCAGCCAACTGGATGGGAGTGCAGCAGGGCTGAGCTTCCAAAGGATGCCCAGTAATATGCGTCTCTATTCAAAGATATTGTTTGAATTTCAGCTGACATGTATTGAACGGGCCAGCTAGCTAAAAATAGCTGAAACACAGCAGAATGTTGAGAGAATGCTGCTGAATGTTATCATTACTAATGGTTCCGCTTCAAACAATGGCCAGAATTTTTATCATTAAACTTGTCTTATCGTAATTAGACAAGCAGCCCACCCCCCCCAGGCGAGTGGGGAGGGGGTACCTACAGTATATGCACTCTGGAGAGAAATATCCAAACCATTATATCCTTTGAGTAGGATTTAATTAGGCTTAATTAAGTATTTAATTAACTGAAGAATTATGTTCGTTCCAAAGCGTCAACATCAAGGATACAACAGTCATTGAGAAGTGAAGGATTAGTATTTAAGCTCAGGAGAGGAGTACAATAAAACTGAGCTGAAATGAACAGACATGAACAGCAAGAAATAGCACTTCATGAACAAAAAACACCGAAACTGACTTCTTAATATATTCCCAGACATCAAAGTTCTGAGAAACCCAGCAACTTATCCTAATTCTTATCTAAAACAATTTGAATAAGGGTAGTGAAAAGACAAACTACTGATAGATATATATATATATATAGATACACATATATTTTTATTTGCACTTTTCACCTGTTCCTTTTGCAAATGTTCCATTTTGAGAGCTTGTTTTGAATCACATGACCTTTTGAGATTAGAAGCGAGAGCAGTGGATTGCCATGTTCTACAGAGCAGTCCATTAAACCAGTGTTAACCCGGAGTCTCTATTCCTCAGTAATCTACTATCCATATATCTATGCATATTAATCTATTTATCTATATCTCTTTTGGCCTAAACAGAACCCTGTTTCTTGTGTTAAATCAATTCATTACATGTTTTACACCTACTAAAGCATATAATATACACAAATTCACAGATTTTTTTTTTCTCTAAATAAAGCATTTTAGTTCTATAATATCCAGCTGATCACTCCAAAACATCCAAGACAAATGTGCTAAACAATCAGATCATATCAAACGTTCAAATTTACTGTGTCCTGACGCATGTACTTGGACGTTCTGTAATCAGTGCCTGTTCCTTACCCTGACGCATCTGTCAATTTCAAAAGAGGCAGCTGTGCATCTTAAAACATAAAGGTTTTTAAGACGTCCATCCGTCCTTCCATCAATCAAATCAATCAATCAATCAATCAATGAGAGCAGGACAGCTGTGCCAAAAGGTAATTACTGCCAAGTGCACTACATCATCTGTTTTACCATCCATTCCCTAATACTGAAAATTCTTCCCATTAAAAAATGTCAAATGGAATTAGAAGCATAATCATTTTGGGCCTCTGATTTCTAGCATTTAATACAATTAGACAAATTAAGTGATGCTCATTGGAAAGGTTCTCTTCTTGGCTCGGCGACGGTTCCTCTCTGTTGAGCAGAGTCAGCAGAAATCGACTAACCGACCTTGAGAGCCATTAGGGAAGGAGGAGAACACAAGCCAATGGACAGGGAGTGAACAAAACAGCCAAGCAGTCTCCTTAAATGGGAGGGCAGGGAATACCATCAAACAGGTCCCAGAAACCACTCATACCTAAAGACCACGTTCTGATCTCTGAAAAGGTCGGTCTAAACTACCCACCTGACAAAGCTTAAATGCATGAACTCACCCTAGTAAAAAGCATCCTTTAATACCCCAAAATAATAAAAAAAAATCCTCAAACTGGCAAAGCCTAAGAAATTAATTGCTTTCCACTTCTACGGTGGACTGAAGTGCAGTGATTCGGCTCAGCACCTGATCTTCCCACTTAGAACGATTTCGCAGCCAACGCTGTCCCACAAGACCGGGGCGTCAAAACATAGCTGGAGAATGAAAGGCGGAGAGACATGAACGCGGCTTCAGCTGCCTTTTGTTTGGCCGTTTGAGAGGGATAGCCGGGGTTCCCACTGAAGGACGCGCCAGGCCTCTGTAGAGGAGTCTCATCGGTCAAGGCAGCCAGCCGATGACAGCTAGCCCAACCCGAAGGTGCCACTGGGGGGCCCCCAGGTGGCTGGTCGGCAGCACGCCAAACCGCGGCCCTTTTCTCATTCCGTGCTCCCCGGATCCCGCGAGAGAGCAGCGGCTACGATTATTCCACATGCATGTTACATGACGGACGGCAACAGTTACAAAAACTGTTAGGGATAAACCCCGTGAGGTTTCCTACCTGCATTCTGTGTGCCAGGGCGGCCTGCTGCCGGAATACTGCATGAAGATGCTCCCATTTTCCAAAACAGAAGGGAATATAAATGCAGCTAACTGCAGACCATTAGGAGATCACTGAGCACCCTTATCCGAAGGCGACCAGCCAATCACCTTTGCCTAGGTGCCCCTGGGCAACACATCCATACCTTTGAAGCTTAAATGTATCCAGATGACTATCCTAGATTGACCAAGAATCAGAAGTAACAAAAAAACCCTGCTTCTGCTTCGAGGTGCATTTTCCAGCTGTATTCCAGTTTCTCAAGAGTCCTGCAATGGTCCTTCACTATCCAGAAGAATCCTGCTTGTCGTCCGTGAGCGAACGCACGAGTGAGAATGCCCCGCGACACACTGGCATGCAGTCTACGACGCCCGCTCGTTATATTTTGCTGATGATCTGTGCCCGGTGACCACAAGGTCGACTGGATAATGAGAATGAAGGTGTATAGGTGCATTGTACACTTGCATCCTTTACGCATGTTTTAGCACAAACACACACGCACACCGTGACTTCACCTTTCACCCCAATTCATCTCTGCATCTGACTGCCAACAAATCTGGCAGATAACATTAGAGGAAGTGAATCATTTGCCTGCGGGACGATAGCAGGCCAGATAAATTGGATGCAAATGCTAATCGCCTCCCCGAAGTCAGGGTTTTGGCGAGCGGGACGCCCCTCGCTGCCGCCACGAGGTTGCTTGGGATTAAACAGGTCGCTGCTGCGTGCACATTTGCGGACGTGGGGTCCAATATCACCCCTCTGACAAACAGCAGCCTCGCTCGAGCCTCGCCTGTGGGCTACATTAGGCAAGAAAATGAAGATGAAGGCTGACATATTCTTTATTTCCCCAACAATGTTCCAGTTTCACATCCAAGTCAATGAACTAGCTTAAGACCAGAGCTGTGTCGCTGTCTCGCTGTCTCTTGCAACATAAAGATGTCAAACTTACAGCAGGTAAGGTTTTTCACTGAGGCGCTACGTCCCGAACGTCTCCACCTGCCCTGCCCATAACAGAAAATTCACAGGACAAATTTCCAGAGTGCAGCGAGACTGTCAAGTTCTGCCAGGGAAAAGACATCTGGGAAAATCATACTACATGATGGATAAATCATTTATCAAGCAGAATGAAATGGCTTATAGTATAAGGCGACTGTCGGAAAGCTTTTCTTATACTCTACGTTAATCGTGTTCTCAGAGTCATCGTAGGCTACTACTCAACGTTGCTTACAGTAGTTATTTTTAAAACATTTAAACCAGCTCTGGGATATCATATTCACAACACACTAAATACCCTGGTTATCCTTTGCTCAGTGGGTCCTATAAAATCATACTTCCATTCTGGCAAACCGTTTCCATTTTCATAACGTGAGTGCGTACGAGCAAGGCGGGAATTTGCTTACAAACCAGATACCGCTCAGAGTGTCAGTCAGTAGTCCTGCCTAAGCATGTATACGGGGACAGTCCATGCTTTAAAAAGATGCTGCAGAAGTAACTGCTTATAATGGCATTTCTTGGGTATATACGTCCCTCACAACACTGAGCAGCTTTGAGAAAAAGCAGTGATGAATTTTCCACTTAATTAACACTGGGTCATTAGGACTAGAGCGGTCAATTACTATTCAGCTTAATCACAGAGGAGGCGGGGAGGCATATGGGGAGCATAAAACACCCCCCCTCCCCCACCAGGCACCCAAAATGGGGGATCCAGTCATGCGGGGCACTAATGAATCCTGTGGGTGACACCACAGACCCCCTACCATTCCACAGACCCCCTACCATTCCACAGGCCCCTAATAGCTGCATTTAAGGGAGAGACATTATTTATCTAAACAGCACGGGCTGTGGTTGGAGCTGCAGGACAATTATGAGACCTTTAGGTGGCGCCGGGCACATTAAACAGTGACCCCAGAATGGGACGAGCGGAGTGGTCCTCCATTGATGGGTGGGGCGGAGGAGAGAGCATGATGAGTTTCTCACCATGTCAATGAGACTCTCCTGGATCCTGTTGAGTGTCGTCCGCAGTCGGCTGCTGATGAGGCCCAGTCCCGATGACTCGTACTGCGGGGAGAGACAGGAGCCGTGATAAACTTTCTTTTAATTATTTCTTTACCTTCAAATCTTTAAAAAGTGCAAAAAGAAAAAAAAAAACTTGCATACTTAGACCATCTGCCTGCCTGTATTGAAAATTGGGTACCGAAGTACAGTGACATTTCATTTTTTTTTTCCACTGTGAATCACTGGTTATGATTCACACATCAGGCATGGGACCTCCGGTCTGTACCCCTTCCCTCTCCGAGAGGCCACACGCGTACAATGGAAGCGGTTTGCGTGCATTGTGTTTTGTCACGTGGACGCTGCGTTAAATCATGCGAGTTCGGTAATTCCGGCTGCACCCTGCTACCGTGTCGCTCTCCGTGTCTCTCCGCCTGTGAAGAGTCTGATTTGGTGTGCCGTAATCATCTCTGTCCCTCTTTAAAAGCCAACTCCACTTACCAGCCAACAATGGAGTCTATTATGTACATAAATGGTTTCATACGGTCCTTTGGCGCTTTACTTATCTGTGTATTTTTTTTGGAAGCTGATGTATTTAAAGTGGGTCTTCAGGGTGCCTCGCGGCACCTTCAGGTTGTTGGTTTGAATCCTGCACAGGTTTCCTGCTGCAGCCAGATTGGGTGGATTTAGTTTGTTTTTAGTAAGTAATTCAGTTTTTGAGCACACCAGCATTCCCAAAAAGCTTCCTCACAGTCATACCACCTAACTTCCAAGCCTCAACAATGTCTGCCTGACAATCTGTTCTCATCGTTAACCAGTCGTCTGACTTTCTGGCCCTCTGCCAGAACCATCTGGCATCCACAGTGAGAGCCTGCCATCACCCATCATACTCCTCACCATCTTACCCCCCCAAAATCCTCAATCGGGGCTCCTGATTATAAAATCAATAACAAAATCAGATTGGTTCAGCCCTATCTGACAACTGTGATGTTTAGCCCACTACACATGAAGTGAGTTTAATAATCAAACCCACAAACAGAAGACTGGTAAGAATATATCAGGTGAGTCCTGAACAGCAGATTTCTAAAATACTGCCGATTTGCAGAACGCATAAATTTTACCCTTTGCTGAATTTCAATCAAAATCATGTCTTCTGGTGACAGTGAAATTTTTCATAAAAGCTGTCCGTACATCGATATTGAAGGTAGATTTCACAAAGCTGTCTTTCAAATGCTTACAGGCACAAAGCCTGTGTGTTTAATATTTTCCTGTTAACGTGTCTTCTTGTGCTTTCATAACAGGAATACGTCTCCATTTTCTGCCAAGGACACACAGCAACGTGGAGTTACACTGCCACTTTGTGCTTTTGTGATAAATACAGTCTGCATTCTACTGTAACTGCAAAGCAAAAGGCCACAATTCATTCTGACTTTTAGATGTGCCTTCAAATTAGCAGCTAATAAAAGGTGATGAAAACATCCTAAATTCCTTGCAGAAGATAAAAGAGTCTGACACACCCCGGTGACGTGTAGCAGAGAAATCCGACAGCTGATTAGAGGTATATAGCTTACAAAACATCCAGTGAAGGAGAGAGCAAGGACTACGGGTTAGATTCCGGCAATTCGGATGTTAATTCTTCAGACCGCAATCTGTGGGCCTTGAAGTCAGCAGATGGGAACCAGCATGATGACAATGAACTCTTTGACTTGGATGGGCACAGGTGGACAGGGGACATGCTTAAGAACAAAGGAGGGAGACCGTGGAGTGAGCAGGCAGGCAGGCAGACAGAAGCCTATGGGAAGACCTGCACACTTACACACCCATAAAAGTCTTATGAGTGGTTCAGTCATAAAACCTTACAATCCCCCTACAGTTCTACGGCTCCCAAAACAAATGACAAGGTGACAGCGCCAATTAAACCTTAATTAGCTACTGCGGAGAAATACCTACGAGAAATACTGATCCAATTAGCATTGTCCTGCGCCTTATTTCTTGGGAAATTTGTGCCAGATTCAAGGATGTAATGTAGCTGGATTTCGAAGGGAAGTGTTTTTAATTCCCATGATGCAATGCACGACGTAAGTTTACCCCATCTGAGACAGCCACTCGCTTCACGAATTGGAGGTCACGCGATGAAGTTCAGGAGATGAAGGGACGAGGCATACGCCACATGCCGGCAGCCAGGAAGCAATGAGACGCGGACCCGATAGGTCTCTAGGGGGCGTTGTTGTAAACTGTCACTTGGGGGCATATGCGACTTGTTTTCAGCCTAAGCGACCCACCTTCAAAGTTGCAGCTGTAAATGTCTCAACGACTTGAGAGCCCCAATTATTTTGTTTTATAGAACAGAAAAAAAAATGCTTTGCATATGGCATAAACTGTATCAGGCAATTTAAATGCAGCTAACAGATGTCTGCCCTGGGAACTATCAATTACGATTCTTTCGCAAATGTTAGCATTTTTGCTAAATTTCCAGCAGAGCCGTCCATTAATATAACATCTCAGGTCCTTTTTCTTCATGCAATGACCGCCGTAAAACACTCCGGAAAGTTCCGCCATGATAAACAGGTCTGTGATTTCCAAGAAAGTGTTAGCATGACGAGTCGGCTGGCGATTACCATTCCCTTTCAAGCGACAGATGACAGACGGAACCCTGATTTCAGCACATCTGACCAGCAATGAACACTGGCATTAGTGTGGCCATCACTGGATTTATTTGTCATAGCGCATCTATAAAAGTCTTAATAGCAGTCACTCATATAACAGATGCCTTCACTGTCCACAAATTTTAGCCCATATGCATCCAGTTAAAAAAAAAAAAAGTAAGGAAACACATAGATTTTATTTTCCCAAAAGTAAGGTAACATGCACATAATCCCCATCACAGCAAGAGGACAAAATCTCAAGGGAGTGCCTTGGGATTAATTTAATTAGCCCACTTATCGCAATAATGTGTGAATAGGGGAACTCGCCCTGCCTTGCGTCACACACACACACAACTCTCCACGTAAATTGACCTGCCAGCCTATTTCCCCATGAAGAACATATGTTGCTAAAAAAGTTCTGTTCGCTCGGTGCACAAACAAGCGTGACTCTTCGCTCAATGTGGCCGAGCGGCTTCCGCACCGGCGCTGAGTGATGGGGAGGGCGGCGGTTTTTCCAAAGGCTCCGCGGCATCTTTCAGGCCCCCGGGGATAATTAGGGAGAAAAGCGGCGATATTTCATCTCCTTTGTTATCGGAAGGAAAACGCCGCTCAGGTAATTACCAGATAACTCATTCTAAAGGGGAAATGGGGAGGAAGGGAGGGGGGGGCATTTCTATACACTATCTTAGAGAACTTCACCATGCAGTTACTGACATGCTAAACACCACTGGCAGGGAAAGGGGGCTGGGACATTAATCAAACCCACAAAGGAAGGCTGGTGTGTGCATCCCCACATCATCGGGCATCTTATCGCGCAGAATTTGAAGGCAGGTTCGGTAATCGTCTCGCAGGGAGAGGCCGTTCAACATACACCAGCACATAAAATAAATAATATGACAGGATATGACAATGGATAAGTCTCCAGAGTACCCCCCCCCCCCCCGAGCTTTACAGGCACAGTGCTCCGTCAGGCTTGAAAATTACACTGGTGTATCACACTGTTCAGTTAACGAGCCACAGTGAGATTACAGCTGAAGTAAGAAGGGTAATTAACGGGCTGTGTTTATATTGCCGCCTGATATCGGCCTGCCCACCCACTCCCACCCCTCAAATTCGGGGGGGGGGTTTGCTGAGCTTTACTATCAGTTCCAAAAATGTTCTTTACAAGATAAAACATCCCCCCTCTGCCCACCGCCAACAACCAATGTCAGTCCCTTAGGCAGTCTAGTGTGTGACCTGAGCAGAACAGACCACATGTCTCCATGCGTCGAACCCCAAACGTGTGCAGGATGGGACTCACCATGTCATTCCGCCCAAAGAAGGTGTAAACGGCATACAAGTAATAGTCAAAGAGCTGGGACATGCAGTGGATGACGTCGAAGGCGATGGGCCGGAGGATGTTCATCATCTGCATGTACTTCCCTGCAAAGGAAGACACCCGTCATCAGTGTAGCCAGAGCTGGTACCTCAGCCACGTCCCACAGTCCACAGGGATTATACACCTAATGAAGCCACAGAAGGCGTCTCACACCCAACAGGAACACAGCCAACAGCACTGCAGGGGCCTCCAGTGCTTTGACTGCACTGCACTGGAGCTACAGATGGTGAGAACTTCACACAAGAGACCATTAGAAGAATGAAAAACCAGCTGCATATGCTCATCTTTTACACTGATTAGTATGAAATCCATTATCGCTGTAAGGACACCGGAGAGAATTACCCCAAATCCAAAACATCCCTGCATGATGTAAATGTTTCAGAATAAAACTTAAATCAATAAAACAAAACTTGCCTAAAATAACAGAAGCACAGAGAATATCACATAGCGTACCAAATCTGCACCATAATGATACTAAAAATGTCAAAATCGCTCATCAGTGCGTGAAACTGTTTAGCAGGTGATTGCAACAATCATGGAGGGGGGCACAACTTAATAATTTATATACAAATATCCTCTTATAGAAGAGGATGAAAAAATCCAAATAAAATTTTGGGGGGCACATGTATCCTATCCCCTGCGTTTTTTTTGTAGTACCGTTAAAGACATTTATTCTTAAAGCCATTGTACCGAAGGATTTATTTTATTTTATACACTTTTCCATGTTATATTCGAGCCACGTAACAGCAAAAAAGTGTGAATGCGATTGTCTAAGAAACGAACATCTAAATTACAGCTGGAGATGAGCGGTCATATGAACTAATGACCAGGAATAAAACGGTGTCACACATCATGTCATGAAAATAGACTCCCCCCCCCTTCCAATTTTAATCAACCATTAGTCCGCTAATTGTCAGAATCACAGTTCCAGCGCAAGGTCCAGTCCGTGACGGTTCCCTTGAAGTCAATGAGCGAATTACTCACCGACGAGTCTGATCACGTTCAGGGTGGTATTGGTCAGGATGGGCGCATTCAGTTTATTCAGGCTGTAGTCGGACTTCTTCCTGCTTCTCAAAGTGTCCCGAGACACGCTGGTTGAGAGAACAAAGCCACATCAACGGCCGCGTCGGGGTTCGAGAAGACGGGGACCTGAGCGGCCAAGCAGCTAAACCTTGGAACCCAGAAGATACGTGATTGAGGGCTATGTAGCCGAGCAGGACAAAACACGGTAAGCGGGATCAAAGTGAATAAAACATGGTACGCACTTATGCGAGTACGTATATAACAAAACAAGATGCTGCTGAATAAATAATGCAGCACGCTGCTCACACCCATAATTAAATGTCACAAGATCTAATTTACAGCTTCATGGAAAATATGCACTGCAATCACTTTTTTTTGCATTTTGCACAAAAAATACATTACTTTTTAATTATAATATCAAAACTACATTTTCCCACAGCGTGGTTGATGTGCATTAGAAGACATATGTAAAAATATAGGCAAGTTATTAAATTCATGATGAAGGCCAAGAACATAAAAACTGAGTTCAGCACTAATTCAGTGCCTACTATTTTCACTTGATGAAAATAATTTTGTACCAAAAAAATAATAATTTCACCGACAAAGTTGCTTCTGTTCTGACATTTTAATGGTTGATGGTTGATTCTTTTACTCCTATAACTTATATTATTAATGTTATTCCATGTATGAAAACCTAAAAGCAGTGCTGAATACAGGGTGCAGAATAAGGTCAAACTGAATGATCAGGCATAAAAACCGACTGATATTAAGGCTCCACAAATTTATTTGTAAACCTGCCGAAAAAGCACCAATAATGTCTGCTTAACCTATAAGTGTGCACAGAGTGAAACTATGCAAAAGAGGTTAGGACTGAAAGCAATTTTTTGTGCATAAACACAGTTCATTTGCAAGGTTTGTTAAGCAGAACAGACAATGTACAGTTGTACCTTGGTTTGCGAGCATAATTTGTTCCGGAAACGTGTTTGTAATCCAAAGCACTCGTATATCAAAGCAAATTTTCCCACTAGAAATAATGGAACCTCTGATGATTTGTTCCACAACCCAAAAATATTCATTAAAAAATGATTAATACAAAATATAAAGAAAAAATACATAAAACAAATTAACCTGCACTTTACCTTTGAAAGCAATCGTGGATGGTGTGAGTGAGACGAGAGAGAGGAGAAGAGGAGGGTTATTTTATAGGACGACTTTCACTGTAACTAAAGGAATCACTGCTATCTGTATCTGGAATCTTTTTCTTTTTGTGCGATTTTAACAAGGAATCTATCCAATGACAGCTGCTTTTGCCTACTTTTCGATTTCGTGGCAATGTGACATTGCATTGTCGTTAAACAGATTCATCGCTTGCACTGCTACACCCTTTTTCGGGTGGTGCTTTTCTACTAAATTTTGACTATATGAGTGAGGCTTAAAGGTTATATTTACGTTTAATGTTTTAAGACTAAGAGATTTAACTATGGGTATCTGTGTAATGTTTGACGAAATAAAATGATTTTGTCGAATATTATAATTTTTTTCCTTAAAATTTGTTTCGGAAACAGAACTTCCATATCAGTCGGCCCCTTCTACAGGGATCGGCTGGCACAGAGAAGGTGAGGCCCGTTCTTTAATGAGAGGCTTTCACAGCGCGATTAACCTTGCTGCACAAACAGAGCGTAATCCGTAGTGCCCTCTGACCTTTTCACGGGGATGTCGCCCGTCTGCTCGTCTACGTAGTCTCTCTTCAGCTCCTCTGGCACGTCGCTGTCGCTGTCGTAGTCCTGATAGACGCTCTTCTCCAGCTCGTCGGACTCATACTGCGGACACCAGGTGCCAGGCGTTAGGGAGCGGATCAAAGAGAGGTCCCCTAAATTTGGGGTTCTTAGCCTTTGATGACCGCGGACCGGTTTGGGGGTGCTAGACGTAACACTTGTCGACGAGGTTGGTCATAAAGAAAGAGGTGACACAATAGTATATTATGTTCCGTGGCCAAAAATACTCGCCCCGGACCAGCACTTGTGCCACAGCCACTGGACCTCTGTCTCATCTGTCCAGATTATTAGCACTGGCAGATTCCATGGTGTGCCCAAGCGTAAAAATGAAGTCGGACACCTCAGACATGCAGAAACTAAGGGAACAAATGCGGTTTCAGATCCAGAGCTTGCTGAGAATGGCGGCATTGTGGCGTTTAGCCTCACAAAGCCCAGCATGAGATGGAACGATACAAAAGGCCTTTTCCAAAAATCGCTTTCAGTATACAGCAGAGCTTTTGGTGGAACAAGGTGCTTCCTCAGGGTGAGTCAGACACGGATTACAGCGGCGGTACCCACACGGCGAGCTCAGACTGTTTCGTCACAGAGCACGATCTTATAAAAAGCTGGAAGAGCCAAAGGGAAAAGGGCCCAACAGAATTGAATCAGGTGTCGCTAACTGGAATGGGACATCCCTAGAGTAAGGTTGGCCTGTTAGCTGGTGGGTTCTCTAGACCACCAAGAGAAAATTTCACCTCATTGTGAATGTGCTGCTGCTGGGCATTCTGGGTGCAAAAAACCCCCACAAAAATCTGGGCGATCATTCCAGCAGCAGTGATATCGCAACAGTTAATGGTTTTAACCCAAGCACAGTAAACTGAGTGTCGACCTTTTGTTCCATCTATGAGGTGAATGTTCCCCCTTGATCTTTAAATGGAATCCTGTTAATTGGCACAATTAATACAGACCTATGTGGTCATTAATCTGCAAAGTATACGACTTTGACTTTTTTTTCCCGTTTTTAAAAGCTATCCAGTGAAGGGTGTTTCATCCTTGCACTGTGTGCGGGGTCTGGTAGCTGAAGTGAACACCTCACCCCAGTGGAAGGGATCAGTGCGTGATCACGGACGGAATCTCCACTAAAACGAACACCTCGCCCCGGGGGAAGGGATCTGCGAGGTCTCATGGACGGAATCTCTGCTAAAACGAACACCTCGCCCTGGGGGAAGGGATCTGCAAGTGCTCATGGACGGAATCTCTGCCAGATTTAAAATCAAATCTACCTGGAAGTTCACTGCTAATACTGTGCTGGACTGTGAGCGTTCCCATTTCATACCATTAGTCCTCCTGAGTAAAAATCTCTGAAGAAGGCAATGACGACAATGAGAGCCCCTGCTGTCTGAAGAATTCTGACGGTTGATGTGGAATTTTTGAAGAAACACACGAGTCACCCAGGAACCACAGAAATCCACGATGTGGCCGTGGTGTCACTCAATTTCTACGAATACGTCCTTCCTAAGCAAGATATTCCCCCTGACTGTATGACCACCCTTAGAAGTGGGCAAGTCAGGGATTTGACTGCTGGACAGCTTTCATACCAATTAAAAAAAAAATCTGACAGTTCATTAAAGCAGGCCAGGGCTCATAGAAATACTGTACTGAATCAGTTTTTCTAAAATTATTGAACGATGATAACTGACAAAGGAAAAATTCAGAAATGTTTGCTTGTCAAAGAAGGCTATATATACACACACACACATTTAAATGCATCCATGGGTCAACTGAGGCTATTTTTTCTATAGCCTATAATTAAACTATTCATTTGTAGAAAAAATTTCAAGCACATAAAACGCTTAGATAAAATTGATGAACAAGATTCAAACATTAAGGCCCTTAAACACCACACTGCAACAGTCATTTGATGGTTATGTAGCTCATGAACCATTTAACGAGCGAGAAAGACCCTGCCTCACTTAATTAACGTGCATATTTGTTAATATCAAAAATAATTTACCCTGGCAGTAAATTAATGAATGGGAGGAATTATTGTCTGCTTAACTGTCCAGACTAAATAAAAAAAAACAAACGAAAAAAAAAAAAACATACTAATGAACAGGCTCTTTGCTTGCAGCAAGCGGCATATATAACGAGTTTATGTCCATCCATGAAAGTGATTTTTGACATGGCACATTTAATCTGACAGCTAATTTCAAGATGCTAATGAAGCAGTTAATTTACAACAAACATATTCCTGACTTGCGCATTATCCTTGACATATTTTACTAGATAAGCAGTCACCGCCCCGCTTCACCAAGAATAATTTCCCCACTGCTGTTTCAGAGCATGTCGCCATGTTTATACTGAAATATAAGGTGTCATTCATTAGGTTGGACATTCTGCTTAAATATTATCGGTTGTCGTTAAGTGGATGTCGATTCCTAGTTAATGTCAGCTGACAGGGAGGAAGGTATCTTCTAGGCTTCAGATGTCAGAGTGCTGGGCGTGCGGAGATGTTAGCCGCGGGTTTAGCATCACGCGCTAGCGGGCGGGATGGCCCGTACCCCGTTGGAGCCGAGCACGTCGTCCGTCTCGTCCTCCTTGCTGTCGATCTGCATCTCGAAGGGGTTCCCGCCCTGGAGGTACTGCTCAAAGAGGGTGGTGTCAGCCTGGACCAGGCTTGTCGCTTGTTTGCTGGGTGACACTGACGGCGAGCGTGACTGGCCCATGAATTTGAACTCCTGCAAGGCAGCAAATGGGGCAAATTCAGGCAGATTTGTGTGGGATCCCATGAACATTTAACCTCCTAAAACCAGATGGTGTGTGGCTCGGTGGGTGTGGAAGATGTGCTTGTGATCGGAAGGTCGCCGGTTCAAATCCTTGGGTTGACAGAGTGATTTCGCCATTTGGCCCTTAACCTCCAATGGCCCCAGGCACTGGCTGACCCGGCATTCTCAATTCTCCATCACTTTAGACAAATGCATCAATTAAATTCGTAAAATATAAAAAAGAGGCATTACGCCATTTGAGGCATCACATTGGTCCAGTTATTTGTTTATGCTGAAGTACCCATATCTGAGGTATGAAGAGGCCAGATGAAGATAAAACTGAAGCCACCCCCCCCCCCCTTCACTGCAGCATACGATTCAGTGATCAAAAAGTTAGGATATGAGGGAGGGCTTAGCTCCTGTAAACACCTTCAGCTTGGAGATCACACTATGGGAGGTCCGGCTGGACCAGAAGCCCAGATGCCTTCAGCCTTTGAGAAATATGCACTTCGCTTTGAGCATAAAACATTTTTCAGATAATATCCGACTTCATCAGGGATCCGGCAACTGACCGAGAAACTGGACGAGAAAGAAGGAGATACCATGTGGAATATGGGGCCCATCAAACATTAAAGGGTATAATCGATTACGTCGGAGAGATAAGGTCCCACAGTGAGCCTACAGGCATATCTGGGCTCACAGCGCCTCGGGTCAGTTCCCCATACTATAGAACAATTATTCCGTACTGTGCGAGAACGCAGTACACTGTCAGGCAAATTTCAGGGCCTGTGATTTAGAAACCCTGGGCATCACTTTAAAAAAACACCAGCCCACGGATCACTTTACTCTGTTAATAAAACGGATCCCACATTAACAAGGAAATGATTTCTCACACATAAAAAAAACTTGCGATATACATGGAAATACCTTTACATACCTCTAGGGGCACTCAGAGTATTTTCCTTAGCTTGTGTTCAAATTACAGGGCGCACCGGCACCCGATTGGCTGAGAGATCGCTGCGAAATCCTCCGGCTAAAGCTTCCAAATTGCAGACACCACTGTGGCGCTTCATTAAGATTGAACTTTACTTTGACATTTTGTCAAATTTAAAACTTTTCATATAGTTTCCTGAACCTTTGGATCTCTTTATGAAAACAAAAAAAAACAGATGACCTGACCTGAGCCGGATTCACTAAAATGTGGAGCTCGACGGAAATCTACGACGTGAGTGGAGCTAAATCGACATGGTGGGGGGGCTTAAGGAGGCAGACACCCTCTGGTGTGCCGGTCAGGATCCTACTCACAATCCGTGGAATGACCTGGAACGTGCATGAAGCCAGGGTTTGAAGCTGGGAGAGACTTATCTGGAAACACATCATCGTTCTTACGCATAAATGCATCAGCCCGATTCGTCAGTATGCGTACTGACGCAACCAACCTTCCATTTTCATCTTTTATGTTTTAATAAATATCATCAAAGACTTTATCCCAACGTTAGAAATATTCAGCTGCATTATTCAGGCTCTGAGTATTACAATCGGTTCTGAAATAGCCTATCTGTATGGCTGGGCACGTCACATGGTACACGGCACCATCAATGAATAACACTGGCTTTGAGTCTCTGTCGTTTCCATAAAGAGTGTGGCAACAGAGACCCCGATCACCTGAAGACCTGCAGATCCCCTTCAGAATGCCGTGAATCCGGTCCATTCGGCATCGACAACATCCCAGGCCGCATCCCTGGGTCGTTTCCTACTTACATGAAGCTGAGCGATGCTGAAGTTAGATTTGACCGGACACAGCTCCCACGTCTCGTTCTCCAGGAACATCCTCAGCTCCTCCAGCCTGGTCCTGAAGTGAAACCGGCACAAATTAAACATTTCTGGCATATATTCGATGTACAATTACGATAACATGCTAGTTTAGGTCTGTCTTTTAGAGTCGGAATTGTTTTTCCCAAGACGTAAATAGAGAAACTAATTCAGCACAAACAAATCAGTTTAAAGTGATTTCCACATGTTGTTGTAATAGTTTTTGCTTAATAGCGAGACTATTACGATTTATTTTGGTACATTATTCAAGTTGTTTGCAAGCAGTCTCCAATAAGGGGCTGCATCCTTATTGCAGGTTGAACGTTGCCAGAGGCCCAACTGATAGCTACGTCTCATATGGACTCGGCTTTTCATATTTCTTTTAATCCCGCCCACAGTACATCAGAGACATTTGCAGGGCCGATTACAAACAGCGCTCCAGCAATTTGTGCACCATATTAAATATTTATGTCTAATATCAAAACCGAAAATTAAAAGACTGCCCAATAAACTTAGTCCACATGGCAGAGGCTTGCCGATTGGAGATCCTCATTCGGGGAAATTCATTCTCTCCAAACACTTTTGGAAACACATTATCATTCAACAGGAGCCCCTGTCTGATATGCCTGGAATGATACTCGCAGGGGCTTGGAGGGAAAATTGACGGAAGCTTATCTGAGAGCGTATTTGTGTGACGTCTGACTGAAGCCATCTGTGGATGAGGCCGGATACCCAACCCAAGCACTACGGAAAACTCAGAAGGGTATCTAAACCTCTCCCACGCATTAAAACACAATCCCTTATGATGCAGCTAATCATCATTCATGACTGAAATTGAAAAACAATACATTTCATCCCTTAAGCGGGACAAACATAAAACGTCGAGATTCAGCCCAGTGATTTTAGCTTTAGGGCTAATGCTGAATTATTCTTAAAGCAAGTCGCCATAATCATGTCCTATTATCATCATTATAAAGAGAATAATAGCAACGTTAAAATCACAAGCCCTCAGAACCAGCATTTTGGGGCATGGTCTCGGTTTTGTATTAAGTGGCAGCCGCACCAAAGAACATAAAGAAGAACAGGATTTTTTTTTTTAAAATACGTTTTATCAGTTTGACTCCCCCATTATGAATGGCACACAAAATGAGATCTAAGCAGCCCTTCAGCACTGAATCATGACTCCATTCCTCCTTCAGTACTGCTGCTAATTTGCCGTGAATCCACCAGCAAGCCTGATTTAATTCTCTGCCGCCCACGACATATACATGAAGATTTTTTCAGACGGTTGCTCATTTAAGTAAACAAAAGAGCCTTGGCATATGCTTAAGGATTGGGGTGAGGAGGGGTGGGGTTGTCCTTTGCATCTTAAGCAGGAGGGGTGTTCTGGGAGTCTGGAGGTCCACGCTCCCTCAGTCAGGCTTAGGTCTGCCTGGATGGAGGACATCTGTTAGTCTATTATCTCCGGAGAGAAAGCAATGGGTGAATCGCAATATGCGTAATTGACCTTACTTATGTTCTCGCATACTTCTTTTATGTCATCTTCCACTGTCGAAGGCTAGTTCCAATACTAAGATCACAAGTACAGAGGACGGGAAAGATTCCCAGATTTTGGTCTTGCTTCATCCCAAATATCAAGAACACATCAGTTGCATCATCGCTGAAGGAGACTAAACCTATGATTCATTGTGCCCGATTTTTGCGATCTTGGTATCGAGATTGACCCAATGACGTGGGAGTGGGTGTAAGAGTCCCTCTGGGGGGCCGTACAGACACAGTGTGACGGGGCAAGGGGTTATTCACCTGCTGGGGGTCTGGGAGTGGGCGGTGGGCGGACGGCGGACTGGGGGAGAAGGGGCTCACCTGTGGTAGTTCTTGAAGTAGTTGACGCTCTGCTTCTTGATGGACTCCTGAAGGACCTCGGAGCGGCTTCCACAGAACTCCTCTCCCACCTGCATTAACCTGGGGGGGAGGGGGGGGATGACATTAGGCTGCCATTCTAATCAACTCCTCAGAGTTATTTTTAAAAGGTACATTTAAAAAGAGCCCTGTGAGGGGGATTTTGCCGGTTCCACAGACATGGCAGACCTCCGAAGGAACGGCTGACGACAAACCGCTGAGCTTGGCATTCCTGCCACGGAAGTACCTGCTGATGATATCCAGCACGAAGATGAAGTCGTCGTATTTGAAGCTGGACATGTCGGTTCCCAGTAGGTAGGCCTTCACCTTCAGCTGGACATCCTGTTCAAAGCAGTAAAGGGGGAGGTAACGTCAATCAACAAGAATGCATAGCCCTGTCATGGGCAGGATCAGGCCAGTGGGGGGCGACGGTGGGGGCGATGGGGGGATGGGGGGGGGGTGTGCCCACCTGCCATATCCGCGTCAGCCCATGCTGCAACTTCTTCTTCACATAGCTGCGGTCGAAGATGGGCTCATCTGACCCCGACGTGCTGCTGCCGTCTGCAAAGGGACGAGCCTCGTTAACCGCGACACGAGCCGCCACGGAGAAAAATGTGAAGACACAGAGGCTGGGGAGAAGCAGCCGCTGAGATGGACACGGCCGCTCTGGGCTTCCCAGCCAGTGCAGGACGGAGGAAGTGGGCCCATCAGCCAACTGCCAGAAGAAGCCATTAAAAAAAAAAAAAACTATTACACTTGCTGTTGAAGGAAACTGCTTAGCCTCTGTAATCAGGACCCCAGCAGAAATTTAAAAGGTGCCCAAGATCTCCACGACCTTCAGATTGGCCAGGTTCCCCGGGATCTTGGTGGTAACAAGACAACGCCACAGCATTAAAGGGTGAACTCCATCCCTTCTCCGGTGACACACCTCAGAGTGCGGAAGGACGCCGGCTCAGGGCTAATGAGGGCTCTGGCCCGGCCTGGGCAATCCCCCAGCCTGCTGAAGCATGAAACCTTTCAGTACCACCTACTGTAGTGTGCTTATGACCATTCAATTTACAGAAAATCCTGAGACTCCTGCAAATTGCGTCAGACAGAAGCATTTCAGCGAATTTCAAAAGCGTGAACCATCAACCAGACAAATGCTGCTTCTTGCATAAAAAAAACGGGATTATTTCTCACACAACTCCTGGCTTTCGTATGTCATTACTGGCCTCAAAATGTGCTTTTACAGAGAAATCTTACTAAAAAGTTACACACACACATCAAGGAGACCCAATGAGCTCTTGCCAGGGTCTCAACAACATAAAATCGTCCCATAAAAAAATACCAGTACATAAAATACAGAGAAAAGAAACCGTGAAAATTGTTTAATGCTAAAATGCAGCTGGAAATGGCGCAAATCGTCCATTACAGTGATGACAGCATTGCACAGCTTTTAAAAGGACATAGATCACGCAGTGTTTGTAAAGACATCTACACACTGGCAAGACATGAGTTTCAAATTCCAGACTGGTCCATAAAAATGCTGTGGATTTATATTTTGGGTATACTGCAATATTTAAGGTACTGTATACCTCAGTATTTTGAAATCTTAGCGACAAAATTAGCCTTGTATATATATAAGGGCTGTCAAAATTAACAGTGTTTACGCGGATTAATCCATCATCGTGATTAATCCGATTAAAATTTTTAACGCAATTAACCCATCTGCAGCGCAGAATGATTCAAAATCCCTGAAATGTCTCTGTCAACGCATTTCGGGTAGTTTTAGTGCGTTCCATTTGCCCTCAGAATTCGTATTCCGAGTCGGATTACGGAGTTTTGAAGCTGGAAGTGACGACATGCGCTCTCGTTTCTCGGAGATTCGAGAAATATCTCAGAGCAGCACAGAGGATCCCGAGTTCTGAATCCTAGATGGCTGCGCCCATTATCAAAGGAAGGGAAAGTTTTAGTTTTATACTGTTTAAAGACTACTTCTCATTTGTGGCTCATTAAATCGGTCGCACACGCTATACCGTCCAACTTATTTGTGGATGTATTGCTACAGAGTTTTATACGTAAAGCACCGCACGTAATGTGTTATCAACTGATATTTCTAACAATGGCAATTTCCCGGGCTAGAATTGGATTTCATGATTAGTTGGATTATTTGTCGGATTTACGGTAGTTCGTGCTAATTGTAAGCGAACGAAGATAAAGACCATTTAAACTGAGGTACCATAAATCCGACAAGTTGTCCGGCTAAGCAAAAAATCTTGCTTTTTGATATGGATCCATGGTATTGCACTTCTGTGGCAGATGGAATGCATCCAACTCGTGTTCAAGATGTTCAATAAACATGTTAAGTGCATATATATTCCCTTTTTTCTTGAGTCTGTTTGCTCATGCAAAATTAAATGTGATTAATATAGATTAAAAATGAATGATATTTAATCGTGATTAATCGAAATTAATCCACAGCAACCCTGTGATTAATCTGATTAAAAATTTTAATCGTTTGACAGCACTAATATTATATATATATATATATAATATAATATATATAATATATAATATATATTATATATAATATATTATATATATTATATATATATATTATATATATACATATATATATATTATATATATATATTATATATATACATATACATATATATACATATATATATATTATATATATATATTATATNTATATATATATATATATATATATATATATATATATATATATATATATATATATATATAAAAATACATACACACTACTTCTACATCCACGCTTTAAAAACATCAGCAATAATTCAACATAAACCTTGTCTCTACAGATGAACCCTGAGCAAAACATCATCTCTAATTTCACACTACAATGTTTCAGTTCCCTGGTTGTACATTGATAACATGTGTGGAGAACGTAAGAATCTTTCACTGTTCTCGCTAAACGTTTTTGTTTCTCTTTGCCAAATGAGGACTGAAATATTGGTCATCTCCAACGTGCAGCTGATTCGCACTTTTCACTTTAGCCAATCTGTGAAGGTCTCCTTCACGTGTAAATCACCAGGGCTAAAGGAACAGGCGTTCCTCCAGCTGCATCCCCCGAGAAGGCGGACAGAAAGCCTGAGAGACCATCAGCAGAGCTGGAGAAACCGGAGCCAGGTCAGGCTGACCGCGCACGATATCCTCAAAAGAAGAAAACAAACAAACCAACCAACCAGGAAAGGCCAGAAAATACGAGCAGTGACTTACAGCCAAAGGCTGAGTACACACCATTTTAAAACCCTAATCCATCCTAAACGAGGGAACTGATCTTCCGTGCCTGCATGGACAGGTTTAACCCCGGCACCCGCGTGCAAACAGACGCGAACCCCATACGCATCCGTCGTGCATTTCAGCGAACATTGAAAATCTTTCTGCCCCAGCAGTAGAATGAATCAAAAAGAACGGTACTGGAAAAAACACAAGTCTGCAGTATGATGGAGTTCCGCCACGCAGGGCTACATTATTCAACAAGCCCTCGAGCGCCATTCTCCACGGCTAAGAGCATCTGGCATTTTTAATATAAAATCATTTCGGGTGATTTCACTGCCGCACATGATAGCACGGCGTATCTGGCGAGGCGCGGCCCCAGGGCCCCGCAGAGCCGAGGGCCCTTGATTCGCCATCGTTCAGTGGCATGTGGCAACATGAGAGTCAAAGGACCACTTTATATTTCGATGCACCGCATCTGACGTGCATCCAAGAAAATGTACGGAAACATGCGACGCCACTCAACGGCCCAGTCTAAGGCTCCATGCGACAGATAATAAGGAACCAGCTTGGCCTCTGACCCCACCCCATGAAGAATGTGACCCTTCAGAAACGTATCGCCACCTCGGTCGTTGCCGGCAACCTCCCAGTGAAGCGATATCCTGAAATATTAATTACCTCCTGTAGCTGTGAGAAACTTTCAAAAGCTCTCCTGACAGGCAAGAGATTACCTCACAGAAACCATTCAGAGTTAACACACCAAACCATTTGATGCAGAAATGGCACACAATTTCAAAATATTATATATAACAACCTATAAAGCACTAAAAAATGAAATCTACAATAGAAGTGAGCACACCAAGCAATAAACAAACCTAAACTTCTACAATGAAGAGATTGGTTCTATCTAAGACTTCCTCAAATTGTATGTATTTATGTATCTTGACAAACTGTTCTTTCTGAGATCGTTCTCTTATTATGTCTATTTTCAGCATGTAAGTAGACTTGTTCTACAATTCCTTAAACAAAATCATAATAGGATAAGGCTTTAGAAGGGCTTTGATGTTAAACTACTGTACATACAAACTGTGGTAATACTTTCTGAATGCATACATACATACATACATACATACATCATATATACACATTCCTCATCATCATCTTCTCAGAGCACGGTGCAGGCCATGGTGTCTGGAACTCCCTTTGCGAGACCCTGGGCTCCAGCTTGAACACGATTCTAATTTTGCCTTTTCTAATGTGCATTCTCTTCATTTATGATTTGTTAGAAGGATATCGGGACACTGTTCAAGTGACCATTGCTAAACTATAGGTGATTAAATCCAGGGTAAGGAGGGGGCAGGGATGATATTTACTCCTCTAAAAAGTTAAATACTGTATATTAGTGGTAGTTTGTTGCATCATATGACTAGGCAACATGACCAGAGTAGAATTATTCGTACTTTTATACTTTTTTGGTCAGTCCATATAAGTTATTTCATATTTTAATGTCTTCATAATTATTGGAAAATGCAGAAAATAGTTCCAATAAACCTTTCTATGGGTAGGAGGTCCAGACTTTTTTTGACTGGTACTGTACATACAAGAATCTTTGCTGCCATTTTTGTTATCACCTCCAAAGTACTGGCAATTCGCAGAGCTAACAGGGCTATCTGAGCAAACTCACACGACCACAGGGTAAAAGGAAAAACAAAGTCTTTCACAGCCTTCCGCCTCAAAGGCATACAGCTTTCATCCTGCTCACTCCTGGCCCTTCCCTTTGACAACAATCAACTGGAAATAAACAATTTCAGCAACGCAGTCATCAATCACATGACTGGAAAGACAAAGATGGTGGCCAGCATTCCTTCTGGACTTCCCGGCGCTTTGCTTCGCCCTCCTGTATCCTAGCAGCTGACGCGCTTTGAGGTATCTCACACACGTCAGTTTGGAGGGAGTCCGCCAACCCACATTCAAATAAACCTTGACAACATGGGCAAATCGGCAAGAAACAATATTCTAGTCCTTTCAAAAAGGGCCATTTAATTCTCAAGGGAAAAAAATGACAGTGAATCCGCAGTCTGGTTTCTAGTTAAAAGGATATTTATATATATATGGTGTTTTATTTATAGGGCTTTGCTCCGAGCACAATGTCAAACGGAACCACGTGGTATAGAGATATAGAGATGATGAAATAAGACATAGAGATGAAGTTATCAAAAGCCGCTGGAAAGACTGCAAGCAGAAGACAGTTCAAAGGGAGACGTTCAAGAACGCAAAGCAGGTATCGAGGCTACGCCCTGCTGTAGGGTTGAGCGTTGGGTCCGGGCGTTTACTGGGGCTGAGGGAACGCAGAACTTGCGCTTATATAACAGCTACAATCACAATCATCACCTGACTCATCCCTAAGGATTTTTTTAAGGTTCTTTTTCTGGCACAGCACGACCCGATTCTAGTATCTATTTCAGTTGCCATTACAGCACCACGAAATAAAACACCTTTCCTTTCTTCTACTGTGCAGAAGTCTACAGTTCGAGTTGAACAAAAAAAATTAACACAGAAGACACAAGGCGGGCCGGATACTCAACAAACAGTAATATGGATAATGAAGTAATTATCCTAACAGAATATGTGTGGTAATACGAAAAGACATTAACATTTACCAAAAGCCATCTCCAGTCTTAATGAAGAGCAGTTCAGTGGAAAATATATTAAGCTGGCACATGCACAGCAACACTTTCAAGTTCATAAAATTCCTCAAAATATTTCAAAATTGATAAAACATTTTTGCCATATATATTTTTTACACACTTTGGTTCATCCACAAATGCATGCGAGTTTTATATCCATGAGTGCCATGTAAATTAGGGGGAATTCATTTCCATAATTAATTCATCATAGTAATCATTAATTAGCTAGCTGGATTTTCCGTAGGCCCTGGATGAAGGGCTGAATGTTGTTTCGATATAAAACGATTTGTATTATTTATGAGTAGCAATCAGAAAGACTCAATATCACAGACCACAGATAAAGTAGTAACTGAAATACACAGTAAATCAAGACACGTTTCCTCAGACTCAGAAACTCTCCCTCCTATTGCCTTATGCGTGCGTAACAATTTTAATCATAAAATATCACAGAGTTATACAAATAACCCAGTTCACAGAAAAGAAGATTCACCGATTCACAGGCAATTGTCAAATAAATAAGAAAAGAAAATCTATTTGCCATAAGACTAATAAAATTTACTGATATGTGACTCATAATAATTCATCTGCACGTGAAGGGTGAAGGGGCGGGGAGATTAAATAAAAATCAGCTCTGCATATCAATTACCATTTCTGATAAATGTTGGATCAACTTATTAAAAACCATCGACTTGCACTCCCTCAGTAAATCGAAATCCAAGTAATTAGTAATTAACTTCAATCAACCTTAAAACCTGTCTCATTAGCCAACAAAACACCAGTAAAAGAGCACAAGCACTACAAGGAAATAAACATGAAACAAAACAAAAAGCAAAATTCACCATGAGGCCAACGCTAACCTCCGTGAGGCTAACGCTAACATGACAGGCGGCAGACACCGTTGCAAATCCTGCTAGGGGAGACAGAGTGAAATCTCTCCTCTAATATTCATTACAGCAACATCTCTCCACGAGCACTGACATCAATTACAGCTTCATCACCGCAAACCGGCGGGTTAACCGCACCGGCTTGCTAATAGTGACGGCTCGGAGCCGTCTCATTAAGCCCGTCGACAGCGACTTGGGACTCAGGAACGATCCCGAAAAACAGGACGAGGCTACAGCTCCTTACACAGCGCAAGCTACACTGGCAGCACAAGGGGGGTAATTTTGCCGGGCAGGAGCCGGTCTCCGAGGTGAAGGTGACCGCCGAGAGGCATAGAACCATTACAAGAGATGGGCATTCGTCTTCCAGTCACAGAGTTATTGCCTCCGGGGAGCGTAGAAGGGGCCAAGAGAAACACAACCACAGCACAAGAGGACAGATGCTGAAATATGACGGCGTCTTGTTTACATGGCAACATACGAAAGACAAGAAGGCGGCCATTTATAATCCTAAACTTCACATCGATTAAAAAACCAGACAAGGAAGAAATCACAAGAATCCCTTACATGAAGGCAATCAAGCTTCTCTTGTTGGTCTTTCTTACACAGGTGCCGCTTTAGTTTTTGTTAGCAATGCACTTGAAAGTGGAAGCTAGGATTATAATTAGGGTGATTATGATCTCTGCTAAGAAACAGCATAAATATCAGAATGTATGGTTACTCGCTGGGTGCAGGGTAAATCCCACACAGAACACCGCGGGGAATACTCAGTCAGCCATGCAATCAAGTACAATTTAGACTCAGCAAATCAGTGAAACAGCATGACTAGACATACCCCGAGCGTTAGGACACAAAGGAAACACGATCTATGAGGGTCTGTCTATTTACTATCTGATCACAATACCGCACCAACAATTTCGACTTAATTACAGTGATAATAACGGGAATAATGCCATCTTATTAGGGCAGTAATTGGCAGCTCATCATTTATGGTAATACTGACACACTGAGGTTTGTTTTTCAATCATATAAGGAATTGATCCTTCAAAGGAATTGGCTATGAACATTGGATGGTGACTCATGTCCATATCACAGCTGATGTTGCGTGTATGAGAGGTGAGTCAAACTGAGCAGGTATCGCTGACCTGAACCCTAACACCAATCACAGCTGATGGTGAGTGTATGAGAGGCGAGTCAAACTGAGCAGGTATCGCTGACCTGAACCCTAACACCAATCACAGCTGATGGTGAGTGTATGAGAGGCGAGTCAAACTGAGCAGGTATCGCTGACCCAAACGTTAACCTAGACAGGGTCAGATCAACACATTCGACACATGGCTAAGCCTGGACTCTAACATTGACCGGCTAGTCCAGGGACAGACTAACTGCTCTGCTGGCCGAAGGCTGGAGACAAGAGAAAATGAAAAACAATCGAACTTCAAAAATATGCTAAACAATATGTGGGGTGCCAGCATTACCAATCAGAAAGGGGGTGGGAGTGCTGTCAGTTAAATTGGCCAATCAGGGGGATGGGGTATTGCTCTGGAGGATCAACATCAAAGACACAGGAGATGTAATGTCAGTTTTGTATCTCTGCACCATTTTCTTCTTGTTAGGCTAGTATGCGCCAGTTTGCTTTGCAGTGAAACAACCACTAGCCTACCACTAGACTCCAGTGTGAAGCTGGGTAGCATGATGCCCCAAAGTGGGAATAGTCCATTACAGCTTGGACGGGGGCCACTTTGCCCATCCTGAAAACCGTTGCTAAAAAAAAATATATATATTAGACATGTTGCTATAATATAAATGATTTATGATCTTATATCCATAAATGTAACTTTTAGAAATGGTCTCTTCACAGTGGCCTTTAGTTTTCAGGGGTCCCTGGCTGCTGCCTTCAATTGACTTACAGTAAGTCTGACCCTGGGCTGGACGCATAAAAATAGCTGAGACCAAACTAATCAGAGGATACCAACTTCATTTACATTTACTGTTGGGATGTAAATGCTACTACACACCATTACAGACTTTATTTTTACCCAAAGGAATATACTTTATTATTTTTTTTTCTTTAATGGACTTGAAGACATTTTGTTGGAGCAATATCCCTTCAATAACTGGTTAATGGGCACAAGATCTTCTGGGATCTGAAACACAACCACGACCTTAGCAGCAGACCCAGAGCACCATGCTCAGGACACACCTACCCGTGTTTCTCTCTCTCCTTTGCACGCTGCCATTTTCTTCAGGTTATCCTACACGAGTTTTAATTTGAGAACTTCAACTGACTCGCGGAGATAAAGTGGGCGGAACTCAGTGGAGTTTCCATTCCGGCGCAGTAAGTTGAGGCCCAAAAGAAGGCCCCATCACACCGGGTCACAGTCACGGCCGTCCAAACGAGACACTAACACGGTGCTTATAAACTGACTGCAAGCTTCACGGTCAGCGCCGTGGTGAAACCAGAACCTCCCCCGGCCGTCCACAAATTATTTAGCACAGACGATGACGGGCTTGATGACGCAGGTCTCGCCTGCATCCCCTGAAGGAGAGAAAGTGCTGGGTCTGGACTTAAGGCATTAGATGAACATCCCTCACTCCCGTTACACTGGAAGCGGTCGATTTAATTGGTTTCCTGGTGACAGCCCTTTCTCGAACCCACCACATTAATCTGGGGAAGACTAAAAAGTGATGATCGTTTTTGGCTGGAACAGAAGTAACTCTCTGAAGATCTGCACCTCCACACAAACAGCACCAGGCTCCCCACTATGCAGAACGATGGCAAACGATGTCCTCAAAACTGTCGCGCCATCTACTTAGAGCTACTACCTCTAGCATGTTCAAAGCGTGTCAGTCTTACCTCTAAAGTGTTGCAGGCATGCCAGTTTTACCCGTAGCATGTTTGAGGTATGTCGGTCTTACCTGTCGCAGGCTTAACTTCTTCTTTGTCATGCTCCTCGTGCCACTGCATAGTCCGGTGGTAGCTCAGCATAACCTCCCACAATGCCTTGCAGAGATCCGTCAGACATGGGATGTAGCTATCGGTGGTTATGTGCTGGGTTACAGGGACGAAACAAGCATTTTTCAGACTCAGAACTCAAAAGGCGCAAATCTTACAGTCCCAAAAGCTTCCAAAAAAACAGATTTAATTCAAGGAAGGAATGCAGGAAACATTAATATGGGTATAAAATACGGTGATTTTCACAAGGAGAGATGTCAATTAATTATTTTTCATTCCAGTTCATATTTATTGCTCGTCTTCATTTGTTAATTCAACTTTTCCCGGTAGGTGCTCTGAGCCCCTAGGATAATCGGAGAAGCAGCCCCCATAATTTAAGTGTGACAGTGCAGCCTCAGTCCATCAGAACGCCAGACACAATACTACCTACAAGAAAAATAATGCAAGACCCAAGCTCCTGTAATTAAGCTGATAAGTCAAGCGCCACAAAAGTCATAGGACCATAACTGGATTCTGCAATGCATACGTGCCAATTTGGAGACCGCAGGGTTGCTACCAGGCCGGGGGGGGGGGGGGGGGGGGGGGGGGGGGGGGGGGGGGGGCGTGCTACAAAAATGTTGAGGACACAGACACCTTTTCAAGTGACTTTAGTTTCAGAAAGTCACCAGCCGGCAGGTGACGTGGGTCATCTCCCATCGCTCTGCGCCTCTCAAGCTGCTTGCGACTCCAGCAATTGACACTGACCCAAATCGCACACATTTGACGGTATTTTTGAAAAAACCCATCAACTCCATCCCATTCACAGCAAGTAGCACCTATTTCAGGCTGAAACAGGGGGAGGGAAAAAACCTGAGCTGGAACTCAGTAAATTACCAAAGTCCGTGGAGAATTCCACGCCTTTGGATTTTGGAGGGAAGACCGGCGCGCGGTAACGCGTCTGCCCCGATGGAAAAAGTGAATGATCTGTGAGCAATTTATGCATGGGGGCTCTCTCCCTCTCAGACCCGTGGGCTTCAGCCTCTCACAAGCTTGACACTCCCCTGTAAATCACCACTGCAGCTTGCAGACGGCGTCCTGGGATGCCAGACTTTAACTTCCCGCTGCTTTTTATCCAGTCCTAGTAAAACCCCCCAAAAATCAAGGATAAATTTTAATACAAGTTGTGGTATTATTTCTGTCATTCGCAGACATTAAAGAGACAGAAAAAGGTCACTATGGTAAAGCAGCTATGACTCCAGACACTTAACATGCTCCCAATTGACTGCTCCTTTAAAATAAAACATTTTAAACAGTTTAAGAGCAGTTTTACGATGATTACAGCCCATCCGCCGCACTCACACTCCTGCCGTTTACCGTTATAGGCGTTTCGCTACAATCGGATGACGTCACATCATTTGGCATTAATTCACATCCCACCTCAGCTATACTGGGACATAAAATGAACGTCAAATCAGTTCACAAAGAAGGGGGGCCATCCACCGAGTTCGACGCAGCGTCCAAACACCGCGAAATTAATAGCACATCGGAGGATCGGCTGGCATTTTTACAGACATTTCTAGGCCTGCTAGACCAATTCCACTGCGGAACAGGCCCAAGACAGGAAGCCATCCAGCAGAAGGTACGTGAGAAAAATCCAGAAATGGGGGAACCGGCCGGGTGAGCGTACAATAATGAAACAGTGTTTCCTGTGAAACCGTCTGATTGAAGAAAAAAAGTTGGGGGGGGGGGGGGGGGGTCATCATTGCGAGATCCCAACAAAATGAGGTCACCGAAATCACTATTTTCGCACGTCATCTAACCTCTCCGATCCCTCAGATCTGTTTAGAGTTCTCCGTAAGGAGTGCTCACCTTCCTTTCCTTACAGATTCCAATCTGCCTATAAATTATTAAAAATTATTGAATGGCTTGTAATATTTCATAACCCGCTGTTTGGTCTGCTGATCAGTTGAATCGAAACTGTAATAATATTTTTGAATTTCTGCTCATAAAACGAACAGCGTTTCACCTTAAGGATATGAAAAATGTAAAAGTAAACTCAGGATTGTCTATCACACGTATTCCGTAACTGCTTATGCAGTATAGGGACAGGATGTGCCAGGATTGGAAACCACGATCCTAAAGAAGTGAGGCATCGACAACCCCCCCCCCCCCGCACCCCCCGCTGGGAAATGGTGCCATCCAGAGTTAGAACAATGGCTTTCTAATTTCAGCATTAGTACAATTTTCTATCCAGTGGATGTGCATTAGAACACTGCCTTAAGTAAAAAATAAACAAATAAAAACAAATTAGAAAAAGCTTTCTCTGAGACGTGTACCCTAGGATTGCAAAAAAAAATTAAAAATCACTACTGAATTTTCTCATCGCCCATTTGGAGCTAATGTTCTTGACCACTTCAATTTGAGCAGCTGAAGAAATTAGGCGACGTCAACACCGGCAATTGTTCCGAATCTTAGCCACTCATACCCACAAAAAGCGTGATCATTGGAGGTTGCCAGGCAACGGAGACCGGCGGAAGGGCCCGAGAGGTGACCGGTCGTCGGAAAGCCAGATCACGGGCGCGCACTGCCATGGACGGACAGCGACGGAACAGGGAGTCCTATGAGAACCCCAGGTCGCACTTTGCAAAAGACAGGGTTAAGCAACATGTCTGAGCTTAAGCTGCTTGGCCTGGCTGAATCCCCGAATGCCCTTAGAATCATTCTTTTACTGCAGATCAGAATATTTGTCACTTGGATCTAACTGTTTGGATGCAGTTGTGTAGCTCTTGCTCCAGTTCTGCTTACACTTGTTCCTAGGCATTCATCGGAAGCTCAGCCTAGCTACAATTACGCCTAGCCGGCTCCTCGGACGCAAATGTTTGTAATATACTACCGCCCTGATTTGTAAGTTGGTTTGGACGTTTGCTTTTGATGCCACAAGAGGGAACTTTCTTCCACTAAGTCTCCAGGATAAAACTTGAGACATCATTTCATTTAAAAAAAAAAAGAACCCGCACTGTGACATAAACAATGAGCTAAAGTTAAAACTCGGCTGGGAAACTTTGGCAAACCTCGGAGACTGGTGGCTGACTCGAGCTGCTTCACTTCATCCCCTCAGCCGCGGACAAGAGCGCCCCCTAGGTCTGTAGTGCAGCCACGTTCTCGGCACCGGCATCTATTACATTTTCCCATCATGCCACAGTGAGTGGAAAAGTCCAATCATCTCTCCCCCTTGTCCGTAAACACCGGATGCTATAATCCTGACTTCCAAAACACTTGTAATGGGGACTTTCTGCTAGCGGATCTGAGCGCTCGCTTTGTGGTCTCTCGGGCACTTGTCTAGAATACTAACGATACAGACCGTCTTGGCCAGTATTTTATTTCTTATCAACAAATGCCAATATGGCGGGAGAGTGAGCAAATGGCAAGAATTAATCAAACTCCCCCATCCCTTTGAGGACCGCTATCCTCCGATGCGCCCAGCCGTGTAATCGACAGTCGGCGCTGGCTTCCAAACTCCGGATCAGACGTGGGCGGGTCCGCGGCTCCAGAATTCCGTTTTATTATAGTAGCGGCTCAAATGCTTTTATAGTAACATAGGGGGGAGGGCTCCTTCGGCGGCAGCTTTTAGCGGCGAGGAGCCGCTGGGAAGGTTCGACTCATCATTACGCAATCGCGCGGCTCTGAATATACCCTGGAATCACACCCAGAGAACCTCTGGCGTGCTGCAGACCCGCGCAGCTGATCGAGTTATCAGGTAAGCAGGCTCACCAGAACTGAGGCCTGTACTCACCGACTGCCGATGAGTCAAAAGGTGTGGGGAGACTTAACCCAGATTAAGCAGATTAACCCAGTACAAAGGAATGTTCAGATACTGTATGTGTCCAACACAGTGCTGGTTCAAAGCCCATGTAGAACCCCAGGCAAGCTCCTCCACTGGAGACCCCGCCCGCTAGCAACTTTCACTTTGTCTAATTTCCTCGGCTGACTTGACTTTGTCCCGGGCAGCGCGTATTTCGTGGGCGCGACATCCTCCGTGCACCAGGGGGCAGCGGCTGTTTGGTCTAGTGGAGCCGATTTAACTAACATGGTGACCAACACCGGTCCAGCAAGCAATCAGTACTTGTTAGCAGCAGCCTACACTAGAGTCAGAGCAGTCTGATTATCCGGATCATGGTTAGCCCCGGGCAGCGGGGGAAAACAAACACCAAAAATGCTGCTTATTAAGTCGCGGTCTGGGGCCGACACACTTCATGGCTCTACAGGGGACTGGAAGCAGCTCGCGACGTTAGCAAAGAGCACCGAGTCTGACATTTGGACCAGAACCAGGTGGTTCTCAGGACAATAATGAAGGAGAAGCGTTTTACAGAACTACGCAGAAAACCATAGGACAGGTGAATACCAGCTGCACCCTTTACTGTCAGCTCCTGAGGTAGCCAGAGGACACACAGAGGATCTGAGGCTCAAAGGATCCATGTCCCAAAAAGTATCAATGGCCCAAAAGATCAGAGGCTTAAAGGGATCTGTGGCCCACAGGGATCCATGGCTCAAAGGAGCGACCCAAAAAGAAACACAGCCCAAAGGATCTGCAACACAAAGGATCCACAGCCGCTCCAGCATGACCATTCAGAGAGGCAGCCCGGCTCATTGATCGGGTCGATAGGTAGCTTTAACATTCACAGCAAGTAGCGTATTATTATATGACCTTTTGTTTCCTTGAATCTAAACTGCGTCACAGAGCGCAGGGCGCCATAGCAATGAGAATCTGTACACCAAACCATACGCTGACTAAGAGTTTAATTAAACCTACAGAAACTGACGGCACAATTAACCCAGGAATTAAGAAGCGAAAAAAGGAAAATGACTAGACAGCCCTCCTACAACTAGACTTCAGTCCAAAGATGCAAGGATCAAATTAAGTCAGAGTTAATGCACGACAAGCTGCGCATTACACACCAGTGAACAAACGGCAGCTTGTCATGCATTAACCGGCTTATGCTGTGGTTACTATACCTTTGACTTGCACATTTGCACATTATTTTCACATATGTGAGCTAAAAATGCATGTAACAGTAGACCTACTTTATTCCTCCAATGATTAAATATTTTCCATTGTGTTCTACATCTGGAATCTTAAGTAACATGTTAGAATTAAACACACGCATACATACGTACAGGCGCGTGCGCACACACACACACACACACACACGCACACGCACACGCACACGCACACGCACACACACACACACACACACATACAACCTATAGATTCTGCTGACTTTCTAGGCCCCAGAATTGGAGGACACCAGGAACAGCCCTGCCTGACATCTTGCACATCTCCCATGTGCCGAAACTCACGATCGCCTGTCACGCCGCTAAAAAACTAAATTAGCCGTCCGCTGACGGGTATAATCAGGGCCGAGCAGGAGGCTTCAGGGAACGACGCAAAATAACACATCTCAGAGATGCGCTGGAATTCAGGGCACGTCCGGCAGCATCTCCAAACACTGAACGCCCACATCTGCCTGATGATTCGCTCACTTTGTGTCACTCTGTACCAGGATTGAGTGATTGGGATTTTATTTAAATAGGATTCCTTTGTTTCTCTTCCTTTCATCCTGCCTAATCTACAATAATCCCCTGTTCCTAGTGCTACCGACTTCAGAATCGACAATTAGCTCTCGGAAAGGACCCCCTCGCAGTTCGATTGCTGTTTTCCGCTCAACCCGTCCTTGACCTCGCCTTACTGGCCGAAGCTCCACCTATTGGCAATTGCAGGTATGACACGTCCGACGCAGCAAATGGCACGGGGAGGCCGTTCAATTAAAAGAGCAGAAGGTTTTCGGGGCCACACGTGGACGCGCTGGACAGTAGTTAAGTGATTCCGGAAGATAGATGAGCACACTATTCTTATCCAAGAAGCACCATACGCCAGGCGTGTTCAGTGTGGCCGTCCGCTGGAACCGATTCCAATAGTTAAATCAACCTAACGACTGCTATAAATTACTCTCCGGACACTCGGCCTGATGTCCGCCCCTTCTCAGCCCTACTCAAGGCTTTTATATGAAGACAAAAAGCATATAAATAAATAATAAGATCAGAATTATAGATGAAAGGGACAATAGAGGAGGCCCTGGTTGGGTAACGACACTGCACAGCCGTCTGTAGGGGTGGCGAGGAGGCCGCAGGCGTGCTCCAGCCATGATGTGGCACAGACATATATAACAGAGGCCCCCTCACTAGATCCCTGGGAGAAAGGGGGGGG